TTTCGATAGGCACGTGTGGGCGCCACAGTGTCAAATATCACCTCGCTATGTGGCTTGATTATGTTGATCGGCTTTGTTTAATATATATATAGTTCAGTGGTTCAGACGCGAAGAGCCCGGTCTTGGTCTCCTTTGCCGTCGATTCTGCTGCCGTATGTCGTCTGTCGCACGTAGGGGATAACGGGTTGGTTGTCATAAGTTTACCAATTTGTTAAAGAAAAATTGTTACCTTTTTCTATTCTTCAAAATATGAGTGTTATAATAAAAAACAAAAATGGCTAAATTCTGTTATTTTAAAGATAATTAAATCCATATAAAATAACAAACAATTAAAAACTATAATTTTACATTTTAATAAAAATAGCTGTTTTTTTCTAAAGTATACGCCACTGGTAATAATAATAATTAAAGAAAAGTGACTTCTTATCAAGAACATGATCAGTTACCGGAACACAAAAAGTTGATGTGGGCATTTTAATGTTATTAAATTAAATAGGTACTCCCATAGGCGCCGGAACTCAAAAATTGCTTTGGGTTCCCGGTCTCTATGCGAGAAATGGGGGCTCCCCCACCCCTTCACACCCCACTTAGGGTCACCACCGGTTTTTAAAAGCCATTTTAAAGCGTTGATTTTATGAAAATGTTATTGAAAAAAAAAAGGTATTGTTAAATGTAGAATTGCTGAAGTTTTGAGGATTGAAGAAGTAGACGAAAGTTCCAATGAAAGTTTCAATAAAAACATTCATTAACTATCATGAATTTAGAAGATTTTTGATGATTTATTAATACACATATAATGGAGTAGGTATTGTACATATACAAAATGGACATTTGAAAACGAAAGAGAACCAATCTTTGGCACCTCAGGTCAATTAAAAAAAACGCTCGAACCCGTTAATTTTTGATTTTATGGGGAAACTTTTTTTGTCAGTTTTACCTTCTTAACGGAAACCCTCTAGCGGTGATGAAACTTACTCTTAAAATCTTAAATGGAAAGAGGGGTCGAATGATATTTTATTTTGTAGGTATTTTTACCTAGATTAAAACCCCCGAGTTTTAAATAGCTACTGTCTTCCTAGCCATGATCTGATGATATTCATCAATTATCCGTTGTCGCAGATTTTCCAGTGATGTTGGCTGGGTGGCGTAAATTTTAGTTTTTAAGTGGTCTTATAAAAAATCTAACGGTGTTAGATCAGGAAACCGTGGAGGCCACTCAATACTTTCTCTTCTTCCGATCCATTGACCTGGAAAGGTTTGATACAAATACTGACGAACAGTCAGTGCAAAATGGGGTGGCGGTGCACTGTCTTGCTAGAATATTAAGTTGTTTGCTATGTACTAATCGTCATTCTCAATCAACTCTAGTAATGCTGGATAAATGACGTTTTCTAATAATTCCAGATATATTTCTGCGGTTAAAGTCCCAGATAAAAAAGGGCCAGTTATACGATTACTAAAAATGCCAGCCCAAACATTCAGTTTCTCTAGATGTTGCGTATCCGCTTCATGAAATATTCTGGGATTTGAATCGGACCAATAACGACAGTTGTGACATTTTACCGTACCATTTAGGAAAAAGTGCATTCGTCAGAAAAACACGTTGAAAAGAAATTGCTGATTATTTACCCTAATAACACACTATTGTTACACGAACGTTTCAGAAACATACCCTTGGGACATTAGAAACGTCTCTGTCATATTTCTTATTCTCCCTCGAACGTACCTGGGATGTTTCTAGCAATCACCATGTCATCATTTGTAACGTATTAGAGACGTTTCTCAGAGACGTTTGTGGAACATCCTGCGATGTTGCTCAAATATCTTAGGTAAGTTTTTTATACTATTGCTGGAACGTTCTAGAAATGACCTAAACGCTTTTTAGTAGGATAATCAAATCAATTACTTTTTCATAAATTTATTTGAAAAAAAAATTTTTTTTGACACAAAAGATAAAAAAATGTTAATTATTACGCTCTGATTCATTGCGTCTATTTCTTTTCGGAGCCCTCCACAACCAGTCATCTATTTTAATTTCCATTTCTTTTTTGTTTACCAATTTACCGAATCTGAAAATGTTTCAATTAAGTGATAATATAAACAATTGATATTAGATTGAAATAATTACCCATAATGGCTTCAGCTATTTTTAACTTGGCATCTTTTTTTTTCCAGTGAATGAAAACAACTTACAAAACTCGTTCCTTGAGGGGAACTATGCATCTTCTAATAAATTCACTGACATTATTGATACCTTGGTTTTCAAAACACAATACCTAAAATAGTTATTTTTAAAGTTAACAAAGAAACAATGACTAGAATGTATAAAAGCCACTTCCTACCTTCTTCATTTTGGCTTGAATAGCTCGCACGTAAAACGATTGCTTTTGCATTTGCCAAGCCTGATTAAACCTTGAATTGGAAGTCATTTTTCATGTAGCTTTACGTACAAACTATACACGTCAATCCGGCCGCCTATAATCACTTTTAGTTTATTTAAAAGTTTATAGAGAAGTTGGTTATTACTTTTAAACTTTTCCAAACTTTATTAAAACACTTTCAATGCAAAAAATAGATTTCAACACGAGGACTTCCTTCAATAGTGTATTTTTTTAGCTCGCGGAGGATTAACCGAACTCTTCTGCTGAGCCAGAAGAAAGGGTATATTCTTCTCTGTCGTATTTGCTTTGCACTCTTTTTGAAGGAACTAATCAAGAAAAATTGGACCTGTAGCAGTTGTTTTTGGAAATAAAAACATTGTTCAAAATGTTCAAATTTAATATTGGAGTTTGATATGATTGTAGATTTCTGGTGATTGCAGTTATTTTATTATTGATATTTGAAAATAATTAAAACGAAAATAGAACATAATTACGATGTTTCTAAAACGTTCATGAGAAATCATTCCAGAAACGTTTCTTTAGAGACATCGCAGGGACGTACCATTTATGTCAGAAACATAGAAACATACATGGAACCTAAATGGGATGTTTCTGGCAGATCGGTGTTATTAGAGTAATGCTTGTTCAGTCATAATTTCACAAAATTGTAATCGCATATCAAAATCGTCTTCGTTAAGTTCTTGTACCAGATGTATTTTGTAGGGATGAAACTTGTGTTTCTTCAATATTTTCTTAATGCTACTTCTCTTAATACCATATGTTATCGCCAACTGTCTTGTACTTAACGTGGGTTCTTGAACAACATACCCTAAAATCGTCACCTCTGTAGCTTAGCAATTGAGTTAACCATTATCACTGATATTCCACTTTTATGGCGACTCTCTAACGAAATAAACTAAACCTTACTACTTTAGGGCGATCACAGAATGTCATCTGATAACAATAATTGAAGGCCATAGGAATTTACCCATAGCAACGGCTGCGAAACCAAACATCACTTCCAAATTTCAATATTACTTCCAAATTTTACATTTCTAAAATATTACAAAGACAAGGATTATTTTTTATTGAATACCAACAAATACATAAGTACTTATATTATTTAGGATGAATATTAACATTAATTGTACAGTTTGTATTATTACTTATATTTACTCTAGAAGTTGAAGCAACTATATCTAGTGTTTCTGAATAATGCTTATTGCCTACATTCAAACCAGATACTATATCGCCAGAAATTAAGTTGGAAATTTGCTTCTCGGGTATTAAAACGGAAATCGCCGAATTTACAACTCTCTTGAGTTTAGGAGGAGTGGAAGGTACTGAAATATTGCTATCAGTATCAAACATTTTGCGTTTTGTCAAGAACTGTAAAAATATTTTGTATGTATTGAACATTTCCATAGCACACGATGACATTGTTAAATAAATTGAACTGCTGTTGATTTTAGAGCAATAATATATTTATTTACAATTATCTAGTTTAATAATTTTAACGATTGCACGAAAAATAGTGTGTATGCCATGGCCACGAAACTTTTTAACGACCTCAAGATTATCTTGCCTTGGCCGCAAGCGGCCTCGGCGATAACTATTCTTTCGGTACGTTAAAAAGGTATTTCGCGGCCTAAGCATACAAATAACTATTTTTAATAACAATGAAAAAATTATGTTAAACCGGTTTTGTACTTTTGGTGAACCACTGTAAAAATATCTTCAAAATGAGATATCATTCGACCACTCTTTCTTTAAGATTTTAGAGGTGAGTCTCACCCCCCTTAAAGGTTTCCGTTTAGGGGTTGAAACTGAAACTGAAAAAAATGTTTCCTCCTAAAATCAAAAATTGACGGGTCCGAGCATTTTTTTAGTAAATGACTTGGGTTACTCGCGAGCACTACTAGAGAGCTGTTTCTGACTCTAAATGAGCTTTTTTTTAACGGTGCTTGATGAGCTGGAGCAACTTCCACAGGTTATCCCTTCTCCCCTCAAGCATTTGCTCGATATCATATGTACAGAGCTCTTGTCTTGATAATTATAGAGTATTATTAGTCGTTTTTATTTGACGTCATAGGGTTTTATACACCAAGAATAATAAACTCTTAAGTCCAAGTTCAACGCTTTGTAAATGACAAGTGACGAACGATTATATTTTCAGAAATTGTTTTTAAAAATAAGATTAGAGTACGGTAAAGAATGGTGGGAAGCATATAGTTTGTTTTACTTTCAATGCATATTTTAATAAGTGATATTTAACAAATATTTAAAAGTTCTGGACTTTTCACCATTTTTTATATTATTTAAAAGCTAAAACGCAACTGTGCTAATTCGAGACTTACGTTTTATTAAACTCATCGTGTTACAAATTTCTAACATTAAGAGATAGAAATTTAAAGTGTCGTCTTGTATTACTTCGAATAAAAATTCGTTTTCTAACCTAAGAAAAAAGTTGAGTTGGGTCTTAAAAAGAAAGATTTAATATTTTGCATTAGCGTTAGGATTATCGTAACCTGCAACGTCACAGCTAACAACTTGCTTGAACATCCAGAGCCCCCGGAGATTCGGCGCCTATGGGTACTTCGATTTTATTTATGTGTACTGAATGAACAATTTTTATATTATTAATTTATCCGAAAAGAGTAAATAGGTATCCAAAAGATATCTTACTTTTAATTTAATAATCGAACTTAATATGCATGGTTGAAGTGCGTTTTTGTGGTATTTTTAATTTATTAATTTTCGCAGGTTTGTTTATTTTCAAAATGGTTTTCGGCAATAGTATATTTGTAAGTATACATACATGATTTTCTTTTGAAACCGCTAAGAATGACGTTAATTCATTTTTGCTTTTTTAATTGCCAGATACATAGTTGGCAGTTGATCCCTAAGATACTTTGTTTTTAAAAATAAGTGTTGTATTTTATATTACAGGCCTAATGATGGCCATATGTGCTGAAACTAGTAGTTGCATTCCTATTGAATTTACGACCACATTTGGGTGATTGATATTACCTCGTTAACCACTATTATAGTAGAATCGCAATCAACACGGAGTAGTAAATCAAAATTTTATGGGTGTTTTACAGCACAGGTGGCTCAAACAAAATCTATGATTTTAAAGAGCCGACAGTTATAAGGTGTGTTGATTTCAAGAATTTTACCTGTGCCGCCCGTTTTTGTGGAACGTAACAATGGGCTACCCTTATTTTAATCTCTTTTAAGACTCTGATGAGCGCACAGTTGGGTAATTCATAGGTCTTGAAAAATTTTTGTTATATTCCTTGTTATTAATTTACTCACACAGGTAACTCTACAATTTATATAACAATTGCAAATAAATCAAGCACCCACACCTGAAATTTCCTGATCTCTCAGATTTATTACTACGTGTCGATTGCGATCCTACTATATATGAAAATTATTCATCATGCAATCTGCAGTCTAGTAATTAATTTAAAATATAAGATCAAATCATAACTGTGTTTTAAATTAAAAACTCTTTTTTTACTTTCCTATCTGTATACAGATATAAGGAAAGTATAGGAATCATGATTTTTTTCGACAGAGTCGGAACATCTGGGGGGTACTTTATGGGTGGTCATTTTTATATTTTATAGAATTTTTGTTCTATACAAAATTTTCCTAAAATGGTCCGTATTCGAGAAATTTGACAAAATGTAAAAAAAAATTTATAAAAATTGTTCAAATAAAAGTTATTTGTAATATAATTCTCTATAATTTTTATTCTATAAATAATTACTCTAAAATGGACCGTATTCGAGATATTTGAGAAAATGTGTAAATTTTGAAATTTGAAGAAAACTCAAAAACGGATAAAGAAAAAAACAAAAGTTTTATTTCGGCCTGACGTGAAATAATTAGATTTTGGACAAAGTCGGAACATCTGGGGGGTACTTTAAGGGAGGCCGTTTTTATATTTTATGGAATATATCTGTTATTTATGTTTGGAAAAGAAAATTGTTCAAATAAAACTTACTTCTAATATTATTATCTATAATTTTTGCCTAATGACAAATTTTCCTGAAATGATCCGTATTCGAGAAATTTGACAAAATTTTAATTTTTCAGTATTTTCGTTTTCAATGAATATCTACAGAAAAATGTTTCGAGGTAGATGTGGAAAATGTATATATTTAGTTTATCCTCCAAACATTTATAAAGGTGCTGCAATAGGTTGTACAAAATAACCTAAAAAAGCCTATAATAACTAGATAGGAAAGTCATGTGTTGGACACATCAGATTTTTAAATTAAATGTTATTTAAATAGTTCCAGATACTGCTGTATACAGGATTGACGTTTGGGACTTTTGAAATATATTTGAATGACTTGGGCTGTAAAACAATTGGAATACAATGCATAAATGAGACTTCCTTTACAACTTGTACAACTATTGGGCATAATATGCTGATAATTACCAATATTGTACTCCATTGTCCAAATGGTTATATTTGTAATATCGCTACGAACTATCCGTAAGTATTTATTACTTTTGTAGTTTTAGCTGTTTTAGTTAATGGTAATCCAATTTAATATACATTTACAAGATTTTATTGGCAACAAATACGTCCATGGTAAAATCAATTCACGTGTTTCAGCCAGCGTTTTATTTTTAGGTTACTGGTTGAACAGATAATAATTTTATTCCGGACTTTTGCGCAACTCTGTATAGTTTGCGCAACTTTGTATAGTTGTATCATATTTAATTTTTCTAAATGTAAATACAAATGAAGTGATGTACGCAAAACTTCTCCATTTCTGTCAGAATACATCTCTATCGTGCGCTACTGTATGAATCACACATATCCATTTCTCTGTAGCCAGTGATATAAAAACTATTTAAGAAGCTGCTATCTGTAACGTGTGGAGTGTGGGTTACTCCACGGTACTTAGGTCTTACTAGGCCCATTGTGTATCCTAAATTGATAAGCATCTCCTAGCTCGTGAGGTGAGCCGGCCTATATATTTAATGTAGTTGACAAGAGAGCGTCGGGCAATCGTAGAGGATATACTCGATTCTGTCTAGTCACAGTCAAGTATTTGTTCGCTGTAGTATTATCAGGATAACATAAAACCTCCTTGGCAGCTTTGCAGTTTTTTGTTTCGTCCTAAATTTCCTTGAATTCCACAAGGGAATTAGGTCTGTCACTACCGATGATGTCAGTCCAATAGAAGTGCCAGGTCCAAAAAGTATTCGGTTAGCTGCCTTCTTGGCTAGTGAATTAGCAAGACGATTACCTTTCGATGTGATGTGATCCATCTTAAGGTGAGACTACATTGTTAAAGGATATTTCGGCCAAAGCTTCGTGGCACTCCAGTACTAACCCTGAGTAAATTCGTGGTCTGTCAGAGTGAGTAATGCTTGTCTGCTATTTGTTCCAGTGATATTGTTTCTGGTAACTTCTTTTGCTGCTATAAGAATCACCGTAAGCTCGGTTTGAAGTACATTGGCACTATTGCTCACAGTCCATTTTATATATAGGTTTAAGGATCTGGAGTATATTCCACATCCTGAATCTTGTTTTGATTTAGAACCGTCGGTGTAGATATGAATCGTACCTGCCACTTCCGGTTTTTCTATTTGTTTCGTTCTAACTTTATAAGGCTTATGTAAGATATATCTCGGTGAGATGGAGTCCATGTTCGCTTGAAGCAGTGGAAGCATATTAAGCGACTCCTGCCTAAAGCGATGTTTCCACTCACGAGATCCTACATCAGGTTATATTACAAACGTGTGAAATGAGATTAAGAATGACTTCCATGGTATGGTTGGTATGATTTTCATGGCTTCTGTTATGCTGAGACATGCTGTTCTTTGAATTTGTTCTAGTTTGCGGATAGCTGTCAATTGTTGTTTTCAAAACCCAGGCAACTGCACCGTATGTAAGCATAGGTATTATGGTGGCCGTGTAAGTCCATATGACGACTCTAGGGAGAAAGCTCAGGTGTGCCCCACGGTTCGGCGACATTGTTCATAAGCTATACAGGGTGTAACTAAATAAGTGTAAAACATTTAAGGGGGTGATTCGTCATCGAAAAAAGATAGGATCTTTCATATAAAGAAACTTTATTGGAGCATCCCTTGTTAAGATACAGACCCTTAAAGGTGGTACATAAAATTTGTTTAACAAGTTCAGGAAAAATCAAGCTCTATAAGCCTATTGATGTTTAAAAAATGTGGATTAAGGAGGGTTGAAATATAAAAAAAAATCCTAACTCAAAAACGAAAAATGATATCAATTTAAAATAATTTTTAGCAAAAAGAAAGCTTTTTAAGGGGACAAAGCCAAATGTTTTTAAAAAAATCTGATTAAAAATTGAGGTTAATGGGGGTTAGGGGAGGTTGAAATTAAATCCAAATATTGATATTGATACTGATAAATCTGAATTAAAATGGGGGGTTGAGGGGGTTAAAATATAAAAAAACCCAACTCAAAAACGAAAATAGATATCAATTTGAAATTTTTTTGCAAAAATAAAGCTCTATAAGGGGAAAAAGAGCTCTTTGATTTTGAAAAAATCTGATTTAAAATGGGGGCTTTAAGGGGGGTTGAAATTAAAAAAAAAAAACCTCATTAATCAAAAATGAAAAGCGATATCAATATATTTTGATTTTTTTAAATAAATTTAAATTAAAATGGGGGCTGAGGGGGTTGAATTATTAAAAAAAACGAAAATAGATATCATCTTGAAATTTTTATCAAAAATCAAGCTCTATAAGACGAAAAAGCTTTTTCACTTAAAAAAAAATCTGGTTCAAAATGAGAGTTTTAAGGGGGGTTAAAATTAAAAAAAAAAATCAAAAGTAATTTGAAATCTTTATCAAGCTTTATAGGGATGAAGCCTATTGATTCTAAAAAAAACTGATTGAAAATGGGGTTAAGTTTATAATACTGATAACCGGTGTTTTGCTATACCATTTAAATTTAATTCAATATCGTCCCTTTTAAGTACAGTACCATGATTTTGGTAATATCTAACTTGTCACTCTTTTAATTGACTCATTGACTCATTTAGTCTGTAGGTATTCCATTTTTTGTTTGTCGTCAGCTGAGCATCTGCTATACTTTTTTCCCATCTACTATCTCCACATAATTTTATAGGACAATAAATTGAGTAGGATTTTTTTTAAATACAAATAATTATTTTTGCTGATCATCCAAGGAGATAGGTACCTACTATGATACAAAAAATTACAGAGGTGTGATACAGAGGCGACGAAATCTCGTCGAGTTCGCGCATGACGTATTGTGGTGTGGAATATAATTATCTGATTAGCCATGAGCAGTTGAAAAATTATTTTCTAAGAAATATGCAATTTGCAACTTTCAAATCACTTTGTTTATAAAACAATAAAACAGTGAAATTCGTCTAATATCCAAAGCACAATTATTATAGTATCATCTTTCTCAACGATTCTAATAAGAATTCATTCTTAAAATAATTGACATTTTCTTGGATAACTGGTGCTTTAGAACTTAAAAGTTCTAACTTCAAATGGTCGTTACAATTTTATGAGTAGTTTTTAAAGCCCAATGGATTACAAAAATGTAGATAAATGTTTATTTTTTTAGATGTATAAAAGAAACCACTACAACATCCACGACAACAGGTACAAATAATTATTTTTTAAATAAACAATAATTTCTTTATTATTTACATATTATAGAATCTACAATCACTACAACTTCAAAAGCCAAGACAACTACAGAAAACACTACAACAACAGAGGCCACCACAACTACAAAAGCCACGACAACTTCAGAGGCCACGACAACTTCAGAAGCCACGATAACTACAGACGTCACAATAACAGCAGAAGCCATAACAACAAAACCCACCACAAAAGCAGGTAAATACTTTGTTTCTTAAAGAAATTTGGTTGTCTTAAATGGATGATTTTAGAAAACTGGATATTTTTTAATACACCAACACTTAATCATATTGTATCAGTTACAAAACTTTTTTTATAAATTATTCATACATCACCTGATTTTTAATTGCAAAAAAATAATAATAAAACATTAAATCTGGAGTTATATAAGGCAGTGTTTCGAGACCGATTCTCCACTTAGTTTATACATTTGATGTCCCAAAAACTGACTAAACTGGAACAGGAGCATTGACAGACAACAACGCTCTCTTGGCGATTCATGACTAGCAAGCGCGATTTTCCAAAAATTTAAAATAGGGTTTCCAAAATCATTTAAAAAATTATATCGTCCGAACGGATGGACCGATTTTAATGAAACTTGGACCGAAGGTGTAGACCCATGGGACGCTTCTAAAAAAAATCTGTATGGCGGTTTCCAAGGCAACCATGAAAAACCACCCAAAATCGTGTTTTTTGAGCCACTGCTCCCTTTTCAGAGAACTGGGTGCACGGTGGAAGGGCGATTGTGTTACCAGTAGATGCTCTAGACATGTGAGTCGTCTATAGGAGGTTTTCTCTTGCCACCTGTCAACTGTAACTTTTTTAGAACGTTTTGAAAATTTCTTTGTCCTTTTTCGACGGTTTAATAAAAACGAATAATTTTTTTTATATTTTTCCTAAACATCCTTTGCCTCTCTCTATCTCACCAAGCACACAAAAAATAGTAAATTAATCTAAATTCCAACATCTTACTTTTGCTATAAGAAAAGAATAATACTCGCCTTTATTAACTACATAGATATTCTCAGTACGTCAGTACTTATAGCAAAATACATCTTTGCAGTAAATTACCTAATTTGGAAAGAACTCATAACTAAAAAACGAAAACAACTTGAACTAAAACTGAGAGAACTATATTAGTTACTAGGAAGAAAACAAAATACAGTCTGTTCGCTATACTTACGCGGGTTTCGGATTAAAAATTTTACGAGTATAAGTACCCGAAAGTTTGACCTGTTTTTTGAGGAAAAATCAACTAGTTAAATGAAATGAAAAATAATGTACAACTTTTTAATTAAATAATAATGGAGAATCTTTTGTATAATTGAGAGCAGAATTAAACTTCTTCATTAATGGAGTCTAATGTGGCTATTATAAACCTAATAATAATTTTATATTACACTTCACACAGAAAATATGGTCTATGTATAATAAGAGGGTTATTTAGCTTAAATAAAATATTTTCTAACATAAAAATTTGTTCCATGTAGAGAATTTCAAATGAAAAATAAAAAAATTGAACTTGCAAACAAAAATGAAAATCAGTCATAATCATCCAAAATATCATAATCGTCATCATAATCACTGTCATCACCATTAATTGTTATTATGATTGGACTTATTTCGTTTATTTTATTTTCACGAGTACACCAATTTTCTATTAGTTTCTCATACTTGGATATACAGTTCCGCCACACTTCTGGAGTTGCAATTGAAAGTGCTTTTCGCCAAGTTTCCCGAACTGCGTCGTCACTATAACCATTAGGCCCAATATGGTTGTCATAATATTGTTTTGCTATTCCCCATATATATTCGATGGGATTAAACTGGCAATGATACGGTGGGAGTCGCAAAACTTGATGACCGTAACTTTCAATAATCTGATCCACAACAAAGGTTTTTGGTTTTGCGTGTATATTTGCCAAGCGTAATAATTCTGATTTTAATATATATTGAGGAAATGGTATATGTTCCTTTGTCAACCATTCTTTAATTTTATCAAAAGTCCAAGAATTCGTTGGACTTTTGTTTAATACTTCAGAATTGTAAGGTGCATTGTCTAAAATAATTACGCTGGGCTCACTTAAACCTGCGAGAAGTTTTTCATGCAACCATTTTACAAACATTTCTGTGTTTATATTATCGTGATAGTCACTGGATTTTGATTTAGATGAAAATATCAAATCAGCACCTTCTATAAAACCCGATTTCCCTCCTACATGCAAAATTATGTGTCGCTTCCCTTCTCCATCGGTATGTTTGATGGACTTTACGTTATCATCTTGCCATATTCTCTTGGTTGCACCCCTAGGAAATATCCTTGTTTCGTCCAAATATATAAAATTCGCCCCTTTTTCTTTAAATTTAGAATATTTTCTTAGAAAGTTAATTCTCTTGTGCACGACAGAACTTCTTTCACAAAGAGCCTTCGTGTTATCCTCCTTTTGAAATTTGAAACCCAAGTTATCCCACATAGCACACGGACGTCTTGTGGATGTCTAAAAGACGTCCTTTAGGGACATAAAGGACGTCCGAGGGACGTCCTGTACCCGTACCGGGACGTCAATCGGACGTCCTAATGTCCCGTTTCCGTCCATCTTAGGGGCATCCCAAAAGGACGTAATAGGGACCTTTGCGGGACGTCTTAGGGACGTAAATCAGACGTCCGAGGGACGATATTTGACCATAATCAATAAATGGTAATAATAACAAAAATGTTAATAAAAGAGCTTTATTTAACAACTTTCATCCTGAAAAAACTAGCTAGAGTTAACAGTTTACAACAAAAAACAGGAATGAATTAAATTTAACACACAGCGCTGGTAAGATAAAACCTTGGGTCCTACTTATAGCTTGTGTCGACATAACTGAGTTTCATAACTTTGTCAAAATTAGTTTTGTTCCAACTTTCCGCCATGAAGGTATTTTCTTTCCGCTAGCGGCTACCGCCAATACACATCACTTATTGTCACCTCAACACAAAACACTTACTTCACTTTATAACCACTTTACCACCAACTTAAAAAAAATAACAAATACCACTATATAACCTTTTTTTTTCTCCGTTAATCTAACTCACTTATATAAGTTAATTATTGAATGCCGAAAATTGTAGATGTTGTTGTTCATTTGAAAATAAATTATAGGTTAGGTTTTCTGTCCTCATACTCTTGCAAAAACAAAACGTTGAATTTCAAGTTATCGATTCAAAGACCAACGATGCTAGTACATAGAAAGTCCCATAGACGTCCCTTGGACGTCCCATTAACGTCCCGGTCTCGGACCGAAAACTAAACGCTTTGTCGAAATGGGACCAAATAGGACGTCCAGAGGACGTCCTTCGAAGGACGTCCTAGTGTTCACTGTAATCGGAAGTCCAGTGGACGTCCTATTTAGGTCCGGGACCAACCGGACCAACAAGGGACCAAATCAGGACGTCCATGGGACGTCCTGTGCTATCTGGGATGTATCACTTGCCATAGACTTGTTTTGCCAATGTCCTCAAATTTTCTATCTATTAATTCCAAATTTCTTTCCATCTGGAATATCTTTCGTTTTCAATGATGGGCGAGTTTTGCGGTGATCTTCTTTCGGCAGTTCATTATCGTGATTTTGTAATACTCCTCTTAATTTGGTTTCACTAATTCCTAGAGCATCGCATACGCGTTGTTGTACAGACATTACCGATTTTAAAGGACCGCCATTTTCTTTTTCATCCGTAAAATACTTATGTACACTACAAAATAGACTATCTATATCTAACGCACGTCTAGGCATTTTTAAAATTTCCACTAAATTTACAATATACATACAATGTCAACACTTGCAAAGAATCAATTCAACTCCAATATTTGTAACAAATTGAGTACCTACCCTAATGTTATTTTAATTTAAATCCGACCATTAGGGCAATTTTACCTAATTTCTTGGGAAGAGGCTTATTGTAACTGGTTGTCAATGACTAATTTGCATAATTTTGTTAATCCGAAACCCGCGTAAGTATAGCGAACAGACTGTAAGTATGTTACTTGAAATTAAAATTCAGATATTCGAGTATAAAGCCATTATTGTGCCTTCTGGACTTATGGCGTAGAACTGTGGGAATGTCCTAGTAAGTCTAACATTGCAATATAAAATCACGTGTACAATAAAACTCCTTCGAATGACTAATTTCCCGTGGTACATAAACTAAGTGCTCCATTAAGAGCTTCTTATACCAACCACCTAAAAATTAAATTAAGATAGATCAAACACCATATTAAATTAGAATACCATTATAACCCCTCTTCCAAGAGAATATTAATAATGAAGTAGCCAATAGACCTAAAATAAGGTAGAAGAGGTATTCTCGATAAAGAGGAAACTATTTAAATAGTTTTTGTTATTATTATTGTTGTTTTATAAATAAATTTAAAAAAAATATTTACTGTAGGAAGCTTTAGTTAATACTTGCTAACACGTAATGTTTTAAATTTTTATTGTAGATATAATGGCCTTAAAAAAGTTTGTCTATTTAAGTCATGGATAGGTTTCAGTTATCAACTTGCTTTAAACCTTACTATTGTGCGAATCATTTAGTCCTTCTGTCTTATTTGGGCCTTATGGCCTCCATTTTTCAATTATCAAAAATTTACGATAAATTAGGTCATCTCCGAAATCCTCGTAAAGAAACACCTATAGTATTAAGTACAAATAAGTTATAAAATATTTTAGTGCATATAAATAAATAATAAATTGTTTAAATAAATAAATTCTAATAAAAATAAAATTGCAATGCCTTTTTACCGTTGTACAGCAAGCTAAGCGTAAAACTAATAATGTCATAAGTGTAAGTTTTTGAAGAAAATATTATTTTAAATTGTAGTACTATTCATAAAATAATAAATTAATTTCAAAATGGCATTCATTCCTCGATTATTTTGTCAACTGTCTGATCTGTCATAACGTTTTAAACTTCAATGTTTTTTCACACCTGTGAAAACCATACTTATTGTCTTTCAAGTGTCGACCACAAAACTTCTAAACTCAACTGGTGGAAATAAATACTTCTTTTGTTTATTTTTAGTGCCAAGGCCAACTGAAGCTCCAAAATGTACTGCCGCGGGACTCTGGCCAGCACCAGCTTGTAACCAGTACTACGAATGTGTTGACACCTCTTGGCTTTTTTGGACATCTTATGAACCTAAACTTATGACTTGTACTGCTGGTGATTACTATGATACAAAGTCGAAGAGTTGTATAGAAGCAGCATTAAGCGACTGTGTAGATTATAAAAAACTAAGAATGCAATTTCAGGATACCTTAAATGATATTTAGTTGTTAATTTTATAAAAATTATCGTTAAAGCTTGTTAATCAATACTGGCAAACTTTAGATATTCTCTTAGTAAAATACCCAAACTAATTTATTTATTTTTATTATTATTAACATGTCAGACAAACGAATTTGAAAAATATGAACAGAACCATTTAAATAAATTTTAAAAACAGTCATAATTTTTTACTTTTTAATATTCTCCTGTAAATATAACACAAAAATTTCAAATTAATACTTATTTATGTCCCTTTCCAAAATTCTAATTTTATAAGAAAGAATAGGTTTATTTATTATTTTTGTACACTACAAAAACAATGTTTTTTATTCATAAATATTGGAAAGGTTATCATCGTGATTTGAGCAAATATTTCAATCAATGATAAGTGTTTATTAGAAATTTGATGCTTGATTATGGATTTTGAATTTATGCAGAACTTTACAAGATTTTTTTTGTGTAATGTAAGATAAACTTTTTTCCATTTGTATAAAACTATTTGAGACACAATTTTTGTGTCATATTTTGTATCCACAACTTGTTAGGTAACCTACAGCAATTTTTTAAATCGCGAATTATTCCAGAGAAGAGACAAACAAGTCATTATTATACAAGTTTAAAAGCTAAATAAAAAAGTTTGACCAAATGAAATAGCGCAATAGTGTTCCATGCCGTAGATGTTTGCTGGCAGGCGCTGATACAAAATATCTTTACCGCAGATCTCTTTGTATAAAAAAAACTTTTTAACGGACAGAATCCTAATAATTTTCATTCCTTTAAATTTTTCTAAGATTACTTTTGGAGATAAATTGGAAAGAGCAATTTTTGGGTGTTTTTTCGAAAAACTGTCGAAGAAAAAGTAAAACAAACGAACGCATAATATATTTTTAATATGCTTCAAAATGCTTTCATTTGATATCATATGATGCGCGGATAGCACAAAAACATCCCATCTACGTTAATAAATTAATAAATTTCAAATAAAACCAAATATTTATATAAATTTATTATTAAAATGTTCTTGAAATCAAGTACCAATATCACAAAAGTAGAGGAAGGTATATCACAAATGCAATTACACATGTGCGATAATAAAAGCTACCTATAAAGCACTAAACGATTGGACAAAATAAGGTAACAATATTGCAAAAGTTCACTAGAAGCTTAAACGGTGAACGATTGTATAAAAGTATATTTATATAAGGTATGTTTCAAAGGTTCACTAGATTTTTATCAACACGGGAATTATATGATGCTAAAGCTAGATCTGTAAATAATAATAGACGATTGCAACAATAACTAGCTATATATTAAACTAATGGATATCTGAGTTCCCTGATTTCTTACCTGTAGACGCAGAGATATATTATCTTTTTCAAATTAATTTTTTGTATAGATGTGTATAAATGTTTATATTATTACTTTATTATTTATGCAAAGGTGATAAAATAGTATAATATATTACTAGGAGTAGAAGGCGCTCAAATTACACTGCCTCGGCTGGGCCTCGGCAGTAAACTTCTGGGCTCAACACAATAAATTTCTTCTCCGAGTAATATATACTATTTTTTCTTCTAGCTCAGAGATAATTCAAGTTATACGTTATACTATATCTACTTTTGCTTCTAAAATTCCTAGAATGTCATCAGGTACAAAGGAAACCTAAAATATAATACTTTTAAAATGTATTTTTAGTTCGATTAAGTATATTATTATCCAGAAGTTAGTTTTGTAAATCTCTTTTATAAGTATTTGTTGTAAAATGTAACTGGGCATTTGGTTTATCTGCCATTAATTTTTATTGTAGTTAAACCATTTTTTATTGGGTACCTAATGAATGAAATATTAAATTTACACCGGGCATTGTAATCTGAAACAAAGACAATGGTCTAGAAAATATTTTTCTATTTTATAGAGGAACTTTACCAAATGTACTCAAATGTATATATAATAAATTATACATCAATTTCTCAAAGTTAAAAAACGACCATCATTCACAAACATGACAAATGACAAGAGTGACAATTGACATAATCATTCCGAAGTCAGATTGTGATGTTTATAGTACTTCTTGTGGATACATTTTAAGGTCTGTTCTGGTTTCGAGAAATAACGATCCACAACTGTCGGGCTCATGCGCAGTGGATAAAAACTGTTCTGGTTTTTCTCGGATTACTTCGGATCTCCAAGTCCAGTGTTCTGGTTTTGTATCTGAGATAATGCGTGATTGTTGTAAACTATCAAAATCTGTTCATACTTAGGAGTGTGGATAGATTCGGACTGTTTTGCCGGGCAAGTGTTATGAATATTTTAGGGGAAGGTTGCCTATATTGGTCCAGTTTTCGGTTAAAGGGCTTTAAGAAAACAAATGAAAAATGAAAATATGTTGTCCACTTCTAGTAAATTATTCAGAATTTTTTTGTTGAATAGTTTTTCATAGAAAAATTTAATCTGGAACCCTTGCAGCTGGTCTATTTTAGGAAACTGGTTGCCTAAATTGAACCAGTGATTTCCTATATTGGACCATTTATTTTAGTTACGTAACATTAAGTAGAACTTTAAGTATACATTAAATGAACGAAATTAAATATATTTTTTATTTAAAAACCAAATGTCAAGAAACTTTATATTAAATGAACATTAAAAAAGGCAAATCTTAGCATAAAATCAAAACTAACACAATAAAAAGAACAAAATAAAAAACACAAATAAAGAACGAACCTAACATCTTTGAAATAAAAAGTTATTTTCAGAAACTAAGTAACAGTAATACTAAAATAGAAACGTTATTTTTACTTAGAGCTAGGAACAAATATCACATGATTCGTGCACCCACCCTCTGCACTTTAGGCCTTGAATCATGTCTTCAACAATGCTGTCAGAGCAAAGTTTGCAGTACCATTCTTTGACATTAATGCTTTTTTTCTTGGAAAAGCCAAAATCAAATTTCACTTTACGCTTGACAGTTTTATTTTTTGAAATATCAGATGATGTCTGTTTAACTTCGAGGTCATCTTTGTAGGGTGTGTATGTATTGATTTGTGCTTTTTGGATACTTTCAGTTGGTTTCACCTTCTTGTGATCAACAACTGGGCTTTTTAATATTTGCTCTATAGATTCTCTTTTTTTTGTTGTGGATGGATCAACTTTAACTGATGCAGTTGCTATTTGTTCCATAGCTGATCTTGATATCGATATTGAAGCTCTTTGAAAAACCAGACCCGTCTACATTGAAAATTTTTGTTGCATTAAGCTGGAATTCATCGACAATTTCCTCTAGAAGTTCGAAGAACTAGGTAACATTTTCTCTATTAAATCCCTTGCACCGAGCTATGGAGGTAGATTCCAGTTGCCTCAATGAAAGGTTGGGTTGACTGCGCATAAATGCATGAAACCACTTTTTACTAGACTGCCTTTTTCTCTATTGAAATTGTGTTTGATATTGTTTTCCTCCACCAGTTCATATGCTGCAGTACGGTCATCTTTATGGCGACCCCATAAAAAATCTCTAAGTTAAGGATATGCTCCGCCAACCTCTCCTTAAACTCCGGTGAAGAGACGGTGCTTCGTCCGAAAATTTTAGACTCTTGGTTAGCCACTTTATTTTTTGGGTCCAAAGGACCAGGCAGCCGGCTTATGGAGAAATGGGTTCCGGTTAATATGCCTGAATTTTTGGTATGTTGAAGACATCGACTTCCTAAACAATAGTGTCCATGGGCGCAACTCAATCCTATAGCCATATCAGCTTTACTCCATTTGCCATATTTTATACCTTTTCTATTATTGGAAGACATTCTGGAACAAAGTAAAACATTGATAGAATATATTGGATTACGCCCTTGACACTAGGTAACTGTCTAATGTAAAATGGTAAAAATATTTTATTTTAATTATTGTAGCACTTCATATTGACACAAATTCCAACATTCAAATACATAAACATAACAAGTAATTCTAGTTTCCTAAATTGGACCAGTCCAATTTAGGCAACACTGTGGTGGTTCAATTTAGGAAACCGCCAGTTATTTTCTAAAATTACATGTTTATCATTCCAATAGACCTTTTCATAACAATTTTTTTTTGTGCGCATGCGTCAGTTTCAGCCATCTTTTTCGTACTGTTTTTGTAAACAAGTATGTTAAAATGCTTATGTGAAAAAAATTATAATTGATAAATATTAATTTAAGTCTATATTCATTTAAAAAAAGGAAGAAAAAAGTAAAGTAATAATAAGTGTAGTGTCTTAATTGAAAAATACATTTTCACAATCAAATATAATTATGTTATCTGTACGGAAAGGAACAACGAAACAGTGTTGTTATGTAAAAGTGACACACGGTATAAATCATTCAAAGGCAATAGATATTATTTTATAAATTTTCCAAAGCCCCTACTGCAATATCGTAAACAATTATCAGGCAAAATCCATATTAAAAGATATTCGAAATGTGCATTAAGTGTGAAAAAATATGGTTGAAGTGACAACGGTTTTCGATGGATTAATGATGTTACTAAAGATACTTATATTTCACTGCATTTTCATGGAGAAAGTGGCCCAACAGAAGAAAATTCTCATGTGGTATTAAACAATATTTTTTTAATATTAAATACTACTTCGGTATACACATTAAATGATTAAAAATGTCATGTTGATCCTCAAAATAATAAATAATTTATTTTATTAATTATACTCGTGATTAACTTTCATGCTAATTAAAGTGTTTTTGCAAGTAGTAATAGTTGGTTGGCATAATTAATTAGAATAAAGTTATAATTATTATTTGTTTTCATTAATTTTTTACAGAGTTAAAAGTATTGATACACCTAACCTCTCAATTAGTCCACTTTGTTCCTTTGTAACAAACATCCAAGACACTTCAACCTCCTTTTCAACTGCTCACAACTATGCGCTTCCACAGAGTTATAAAAAAGTTATTCACTATCAACGATTTTTTCTAATGATTAATTTTTCTGTAGAGATAACATTGCTTTCCCAGCCATTTGTCGATCAAAACAGTACGAAACTTTTGAATTACCGCTATTTCAACATGGTGGCTGCGCTTGCGCTCATCACATGATGAAAAGGTCTATGTATTGGGGTTCGATATTTTTTAATAGCGATATGAATAGGGTAAAACATACTTGTTTTATTAAAAATAGCAGCACTAGGTGAATTTC